AAAGAGCCAGGAGTGGATTCTTAGAGGGTGAGGAAGTTGAGAGTTTCCTGGCTGGTGATTTTTTTAATAAACAAATAGATTTACAGCAAGTGAAAAGATATAGTCTCTTTGCTTCTCATCACCGTATGAATTATTTCTGTGTCTGAAATTGTTTTAAAGAGCAGTATAATCTAAAGGCCAGTGGTGAAAATGGAACAAGGTGTAAGATCTGTCTGCTCGGTGAAGAAATGGTGTTCCACCCCGCTATCTCAGTGTACATTTTTTGGAGTGTATAATGGTGTGTTTACCCGAGTTCTCTCAGAAAAAGACACTTATGCGATAGGACTGCCTGCTTGCCCCTTGTCTCCCTTCTCCCTAGTCTCCATCTTGCCAAGTGCTTCTTGAAACTGCTGGCTGATTGTGGCATGATACAGCAATATCAGCGACGTTAAGATTCCTAGGAGTTTCGTGGAAATTAGTGTCTGGAGAGAGGAGAGGAGCCTCAGGGAAAAACTGGAGCATGGGATTACCTGCATAATGAGACATCAAAGAATTCGTGTGACTGAACTGTGAACCCAGCTGTGTTAGCAGACACCAGAGACTGCACATGAGAGAGTACCATCGTGAAAGCCTTAGTCACAGGAAGGTTGTCCATCAGGCCTCATCCCTTCTTAGATAGGAGGTAAACCACCCATTGTAAACCAGGCTTCAGAAGTGTCGCTAGCTTTTTTGTGGTTTCTTCTGTAGAGAATCTGTGTTGGCTATGCGTAGGATCCAGCTTAGGACGAATTTAGTGGTGAGCTGCGAACTGAATAACAATCCTGATTTAGAAAGTTCACAGGTGGTGATGTGGAATCATTTGCCAGGATCAATGCTACAAGAACAGTTTCTTTGCAAATCTACTTTCTTCAACAACCAGAGGTGTTAACAAGGAGGATCCCTGTTTAGGGTAAAAGGCTAAGTCCATTCTCATTGCGAAGCTGTTGATGGAAATCAATAAAGAAATGAGAGGGAGTTTGCCCCAGGTGTTTATGTCTGCATACATTACCTATGGTTGTGTGGTGGGAATGGTGAAAGCTCCTTCTAGGCAATAGCTCTGCCAAACTTGTGGTTTAAAATCTAGTGGAATTTACAGGAAGAGGTCAGAAGAGGATCCGGGAATGAGCTATTTACATGCTTAGCAGTGTTAGTCAACAATTGGATTTCAGAGCAAAGGCTTTTTCCCAAACTCAAATGTCACGTTTAAAAAAAACGAATTTTACATGTTTATGGCATAATAATGGAATTTCCTTGACTTGGATTACGTCAACATGGGAATGGTGCTGGCACAGAGATAGTAATTCAGCTGTCCAAAGAGCACGCGGTAGTCTTATGTGCATGGATTACCCAGACTGAGAGACAATGTCTTCATGTGGGCATTGTCTAATCCCTGTTTCTGTCTACCATGGATGTCTCTTCCATAGCAAACTCAGTGACACTGCAGCACATAACCATTGCTAGATGTTGAGTGATGTCGATCCTGGACAAAGTGTTGAACCCGGTGCTAAGTTTAATTTCTATCCTTGACAGCCTTGTGTAGCTGTGTTAGGAAATTAAGGAGTAGGTCATGTTCTTCAAGACAGCAGCTGTAACATCAGCTGAAGGTCATGGGTTGACGAAGGCCCATGCTGACATGCACCAGTCTGTCCTGTTAGACTGGATTAAAGAAGCAGAGATTTGGTAATTAATGCAGGGTGCATCTGGTATTGCTCATGTATTATTTTGTCACGGTGTAGAGAAGACAGTTTCCTTAAGGAGGGGAAGGGAAGCTTTTTTAAGAGGAAGTGGAAGCTGCAGCAATCCTTGGACTTCATTCAGGAGGTAGGTGCTGATTCAGCAAAGCTCAGTAAGCACATGTTTTACCTAAGCGTGGGTTGGCTTCATTGGCTTCAGCATGTGAGCTATTTCATTGACCTCTGTGAAGTTACTGACCTATTGCAAGTTGCACACATACCTTGCTTGCTCAGCTGGCTGCGCTCTGGCAAGGAGAATAAAACAGTCCCTGCCAAAGACCTCCTGAATAAAGCGCCTGAAATGAAGTTGAACCCCTTACTTCATTGTTTAGGTGATTGATTTTCCTTCTTTGCATCAAATCTTTCATCCTGTCTGCAGTAAACTATTTGCTGGAAGTATGCCTACCAACCATGCATTTAATACCCTAGCATGTGATACAGCACCCACACTAGTCCTCTGGCATACAGTGACATGATAGAGGGTATGGATAGGGACAGAAGGGACCACCAACCTGACACATACCTCACAATTTGCCCAGAGAACCCAATACCTCCATTTCTTTGCATCCAAGACATGAAAGATTTTCTTCAAAACAGGCGGGGAGGGGCAAGAAAGTCTCATACTTTGTCTATGCCGTCCTTCTTTGAAGGAAAGAAGAACCTCCATTTCTGGGATAAAGCCGTGACAAGTATTTTAAAGCAGATTGTGTATCTGAAGCTTTGTTGTAAGATACGCCCTGTTTAAAAGATCAGAAGTTATTCCTCAGGTTAATTATTAGACTTGGGTTCTCCAATCCAGTAGAGACACTTTTGAATCTCACCGGTGCTATAAACTGGACTAATTACAAGCCAGTAATCTATCGGGAAAGAAGCAGTCCCCCAGATCTGGGGGAAGGAGTGGTATTCCCATGCTGTTGAAGTCGGTGTGAGTTTTACCACGGTGTGGAAGAAGGGTGTTATACCACTCCAACTCTGTTGCTGGCGTAGCCTGACCCGTTACAAAGCACAAAGTGAAACATTAATCCTTTGCTCATAGGCAACATATATAAGCTGAAGTGCCTACAGGATGCTCCTGTTCAACTTTTAGGGCCTTCAAGAACAGAGTCGTGATTGAGGGAGGTAAAAGAATTACTGAAACTGCTTTTGAGCACAGAGAGATGCACAGGAGCTCACGTAACTACACTGGGTTGTCAGTCTCACCTTGATGACCGTTCCCTTTGGATGGAATTATGAAGCTGGAGGGAAAGGAATAAACAGAAGGAGACGTTAGAAAATAATTTTCTCCCTATGCTCTGTGAACCAAAGAGAGCAAAACTACTACCAAAGGATAAACAATCTGATTTATTTCCCAAAACATGTCGTCAAAGACCTTTGTCACTGAAACTGGAACATGTTATCTCCAGGTATCTCTCCTGAAGTCTGAGAAAGTTGCAAGAGAAGAATTAAAGACTGTTTATCTGCATCTTTCAGTTAACATCAGGATTGTTGGAGTTCACAGAATCTCTCTGGGTGACCCAAAGTATTTAAAAACCCCAAAAAAACACTGCACAGTGTCTCTCATACTGAGGGGTGAGACCTCACTAAACGTAAGCTCTGAAGAGAAAAATAAAACCTGTGGTTTCCTTTTTGGCTTCTCTGAGCTTCATTTGAACTCCCTTGCCCATTGTCTTTCTCTGTAAAGGAAGACAAAATAAATACATAAAACTGCCCAGTGAGACCTGTTTGTTATCTCTGGAAAGTTCCTAAATGTAGGTTCAGCTCCTTGTACTTTAAAGGGGTGGAAAAGCACATTGCAAGAGCTGAAAGAAAGTGCAAAGAATGCTGTTTTTCCATCTCAGCAGCCACACAGTAAACCAAAGATAACATAGTCATTAAAAAACAAAATACCCTTCAATATCGGAAAGCTGCAGGGTCCTGACTGTGGAACAACAGATTTGCTTTGTGTCAGCTGGGGTCGATTCTTTACGGCCATAGGGTTTCGAATTTGGTGGTTGCTTTTCAGATGTTGTCTGACTAAGTCTCTTAGACCTGAAGCGTAGAGTGAACAAAGTGGTGTGGGCGTCAGGTTTCAACATGCTTCTAATTTCTCTTTGCCTTTTTCTGAATTCCTGGTTTATAAGACACGAAAGGTAGAAACCAGTAAGTTAATGTATTGTAGACCCTATTTGAATATAAATCACTATATCAAAAACCTGTGCTCCCCCTGGGTTGTACATAAATGGGTTTTCTTCCTTCCTGGTGAAAAGAGTGGCTTGTCTGTGTTGTTTGCATCAGCCCTGTAAGGAGCCAAGTAAGAAATCTTACGGCCAGGACACTACCTGACACAAAGGGAAGAGTCCTCCATTGCTTTGTATTGACATATGCGAAACTGAGAATCTGGCCCTCAAGATTTACACCTTAGAGTATTTTGTAGGAACAACGCTCACTTCTAAGCAATATTGTCAGTCTTATTCTGTCTTATTTATTGTCTCTATCAGCAAGTGCAGATTGCAGTAATTAAATTGACACAGATTTGTTATCCTGGAATGAATTTGTATTGTCGTGATTTTTAACAAGGCACAGCATTCATTTGTTGTAGGAAAAAGATCCTTTTGAAAGACAATCTTGACCTTTTTGCTAGTGAGAACTACTTGTCA